GAGCTTTGTTTCATATCATTATTTTCGATTACTAAATTTCTCCGTCCTGTACCTTTTGACGATGTTTAGGGAATTGGATCTGTTGGCTCGACAGCATACATGCTTCAATCTTCAGTCATGTGCAACCACACTTGGTTCTCTTTCCAGATTGGTATGCTATTTGAATGTAGAATCTAGACTGTTTGGAATATTTTTGAAATTCATTATGGTACCTCCTTAATTTTTGACCCATTAAACACCGTAATATTATGTTGGTGCTTTTGGCCATTGTAAAAAAATTCAAAAATACACATCACATTATTTGTAATACCAAGAAAATGATAAACCACACCTTTCCTTCTTCCATATCCGTTGGGTGAGAATTAAATCTTTGTGAGGGTTCTTTACTATGTCTAGTTTGTGATGTAATTCCTTTTTTTTTTTTGGTGGGTGGTATGTCTAATTGTGTTACTGAATGGTGGAATATTTAATAATGAATTAACTGTTAAGGAATGAGAATATTGGATAGCATTGTTTTTGCAAAGATGGCAAAGTTAATCTACTTTGGTTTCCCTGCTTTGTTTCTGATATTTAAGTTGTCGTAATACTGAAAGTTTCAACTATGCCTCAAAACTCTAAACTGAAAAACCAACGGAATGTTACAGACTTACAGTGTATATGGTCAAGAATAAAAGGGTACTATATGAATTCCATTTATTTTTAAACCAAATGATTTTTCAAAACTGACTACATAATTATCATATAGATCTTCCCAATGTTTTTACTTCTTGCATGTAGTAAGATCTTCAGAGTTCAGACTTCAATTAATGTAAAGTTGTATTTCTTGTAGGTTCAATCACTGCCAAGGATGATCATAAAGGATGAAATAGGAAAACAGGTCAGTTGCCATTTTGAAGGCCTCTCATTAATTGTCTTACTTTTTTTGGTTGCATTTGTATTAGCGGAAATTATGGGGTTTTGAACAAGAAGTTTCTCCCTTGAACTAAAATTTGTAGTTTTGTACCCTTGTTAAAAGATTCTAGTTTCATCTTGAGAGAGCTGTGGGTGTATCTGATTTACTAGGTTCACTTTGTACCCTGAAGCTTGATGTAGGCACTAAATGGATGTGAGACCGCTAAGAGTCTATTTTCATTGATCTCAGGCTCCACTCCTGGTGATCACTTTTCCTTTTACTTTTGGGGACTTATCTTTGCTCTTCAAATCTGGGTCAAGTAGCTTCAGAGTTGTCTCATCTTATAACTTTTGGGGACTTATCTTTGCTCTTCAAATCTGGGTCAAGTAGCTTAATGTAGGAACTAATTGGATGCGAGACCGCTAAGAGTCTGTTTTCATTGATCTCGGGCTCCACTCCTGGTGATCATTTTTCCTTTTACTTTTGGGACTTATCTTCGCCCTTCAAATCTGGGTCAAGTAGCTTTAGATGCAATTTGTTCCCACAAATTTTTCGGCACCAAACAAGCAGACTAATTAATGAAATTCCCTGAGGCCTGTCACTTCGAGCTAGATCTACTAGAATACGAGTCTTTTGGACACCTAAGTTACTAGACAATAACACTTGGTTAAACTATATATGGCATTGATCACTTGGGAAGTTGACTGAGTCAATGAACTTGTGTTTAAAAGCTGTGTTTTCATTCTATTCTTGTCTTCCTTACAAACAGCTGGTCCCAACGAATCATATGTAGCAAACTTCCACATTTGTTTAACATATCTGAATGTTCCACATCCAGGCAACACCATTTTGGCCCACTAGCCTGCCACTAATTGTTGTCATGGAGCTCACTAGAGCACAACCCCGACTAAGGTAGTCATCATCTACATCCTGTACGGATAAATGGAAGCTGCCTATGTTTACTATAAAGCTGACAGAAGACACTTGGCAGCACTAGAGAGCTTAAATGTTTCCCATACGCCATTTTTCATATGACTGCCTTGTTTAAACTGATCGGATCACTGAACCAGACTACTGTCTTTCGTTACTTGAGAGATTTTTCTAGACTGAGGGATAGAATATCTGACGAGGACATGACATTTCATATACTTTCAGTTTTTTATGACATTTAATAAAATCTTTGTGTTTTACCAGCTTTTTTCTTATCTCAGTCATATTTCTCTTTCTTTTTCCAAACCTTACCATTTTTTCTCTTTACGTTATTAAGGGCTGCATTTCATCATTAAATGTATTTCCTAAAATGGTCCCCCGCGTAAGTTTGGAGATTTATGACAAAAACACGTGCAAATCGCTGTAATTTATGTCAGTTATTCTTAATATTTTCCTTCATAGCTTATTATATGCGACCCTCCTTGGGGCTGCAGTACCCTACATTTGGAGTCTCATTTGTCATGCTTGGTGTTTTTTTTCTTTAACTCACGTTTTCTCAAGTCTAACTTCCCCTATTTAAGTATTTCGCTTTTGCACTCTTTTTTTCTTTTTCTTTTTTTTTTTGAAACAGCTTTTGCACTCTAAACTGAATTTTCCTGCTCCACTTTTCACAGATGATTTCAAATGACTATTTATGTTAGTAATCCCCACATCCTTTTTGGGATTAAGGCTTTGTTGTTGCTACTTTTGTTGTGATGGTGTTTCCGAGTCCTATGAAGGATCTTTATAGAAAGGAGGGTTTTATTTTATTTTTTTTATATATAATTTTTTTTTTATAAATGAATTTGGAGGTAAACCATTTTTGGGGAATTGGGGCTATAAAACATTTTAGTCTACTATATATAATCAATTCTTATTAGTTGAGTCTTTTGAGAGCCATCTCACAATGTCATTCCCAGTTACAACAATTTTTTTCTACGTGCTAGCTACACACAAGCACACCCACACTCACTTGTACATACATGCACACTCACACACATGTATGTATGCACATGCACATGCACATATATTTACATATTCATATCAGAGGTTATCAACCTGTGCAGGTACAATACTCTCTTCATGCTGCAAATTTTGCACGAAGCAATGCTACTCTTGGTGCCTATGATGACTCTGCTGGTATTTTCCGTTTAAAATGTGATTTTTTTTAATCACCTTGTACTTCTCAAAATGTAGTGCTAACAAATATGTACATCTTCACTATCAGTCTTGTCACGGCAAGCAAGATCTTTGGCCGAAGATGCCTTTTTTCATCCTTCTATCATGTCTGTGAGCTATTATTCATTCGAGCACTGCTTTGCAGTCTACTCGGTTAGTCACTTAACTTTGTGTGTGTGTTTTTAATGATGTTTATGAAATCTTAATATAATAAAATAATAAATATAGATGGTAGAGATGTGGCATGGTGTCCGTCTCTAAAGCTGAAGTCCTTGCACGTCTGCTAGACTTGGCATCTTAGGAAAAGAGACTAGATCATTTTATGGTAACCAATGCTGCCTGTGAACTTGAGGAGTAGGTTGTGTGATATGTTTGATGCAATCTTACATGTCTTTATCATTTGGAATTTAGCTGTATGACTTGTATTTGATCAGAATTTCCTTAGGTCTCATTTGCTGATAATTGTCCTGTTGCGCTTGGTTGCACGGGAGCATTCTTGCACGTCTGATCCTTTAGATTAGACCTGTAGTTATGTAATTAGATGTACTAAATTTGTTTTGCCCGTGTCCAAAATTGAATATTGAATTGATATTTTCTGGAACATAGCCTGATAAAAAATGCTGGATATTATTGAGGACCATTTATAGCTTAGAGGAAAATTTGCAAGCTATAATAAATTTCTATTGATGAACCAGAAACAACTGTAATATACAATGGAAGATTGTTTGGTAACGTATTCTGATTTCCTCATGTATCTTCACAATGACAGCCCTTCTTCCTACCCGTAGCACTGCATGTTCTCCTTGCAGCTTTCAAGGAATGGAAACGATACAAGCAAGAAAAGCTGAAGTACTTAACATGGAAAGCAAAAGAAGTTACATCTTAAACCTCAGGAATGAGCAGAATGAAGACTTGACTGCTCCCAGAAAACTGTGATGAACAGAAAAATTGCCCATGGCTTCATGGAATTTTTGAAGCCCTCTTATGAGTCTTGTTGTGCAATGGGTTGGAAAAGGCTCGTAAGCCACTTTTCTGAGCACTGAGACGAACTAGAAATGTTGGCGCTTCATATCTTTTTGATTATCGTGATTGCTCCCAGATCTGAGGACATCCTGCTTTCTGACAAATTAATTTATTAGTCGTGATGGCTTGCTAACTAGTTTTGTAGAAGAGTTGAGGAAAGAAAAGGGGAGTAAAAAAAATTTAATACGCAGATGTTAAATTAAAAAATTCTGATAGAACTTGGGCAACCTGTATTTTTGTAGAAAACTTCATGTTTAGTACTTGGCCCAAGGATGTGGATAGATTTTTTATTATTATTATTATTATTATTGGCTAAGCAAATGATAGTTAGTTACACAATGTTTTTGCAAAATTTTGCATCCTTGTATTCAATACTTTTTTTTCCCTTGGTTAAAGACACAAGGATTTTGACTCTTTTGTCAACTCAAATTACACAATTTGCGTGTCAAGGAAATAAATCTTAGCACGACCTCTCGCTCTGCAATCTTCGTAGTCCAGCAGAAAAGCATGTATCAACCATCATACTATTTAAAACTACATGGTTGTACCAAAGACGGGCCTCACACAATCTTATACCGCATAATTGCACCAAAGACAAGTATCATAGCGCAGCTGAAGACTAGAGGGAGATACAAAATCATCATCCCACTCCAGGTTTTTCCTCATACACACATGGACATACGATGGGTCAAGATGCATCTAATTACATTAGCCTTAGCAAGGCATTAAACTGGGTGCAATGGATAATTGGCATGAACACTTTTATTCCTTTTAAAGAGGATACTCGTTGAGAAACATACCTCGTCAAAACCTCCTTAATATCATTCTTAAGAAACCACATGTAACATCTCATCCCACAAAGATTTCAATTCTTCCAGACACTTCGGTGATTACACACAGTTTAAGCAAAGTGAAGTAGTCAATTACTCTATGCAAATGATTAATCAGAACAAAAGAGAACCATAAATCGTGAGAAAACTACACATTTAAGGGGAAAAAAATCCAACTAAAATAATTTGAAATAGCATTACAGATAAATCCCTGAATTAGTTTCAACCTACCCTTCCTACAATATAACCTAAATCAAAACGAAGCTCCCTGGTGCCCTAACGCTTCTTCAATACAAACCAATTTGTCAAAATTAAAATGTAAACATTCAGACAACAGGCATATATATATACCAAGTAAAACACAGGGCCACCAACAGTGGACTGCAGAGATGGGTTTGGCAACAAAGCTGACAGGAAAGAAAAATAACAATCAGCTTTACTCCCCATCTTAACCCCTTGAACTCAATGCCAATAATATCTTCTTTCGGGGACCCTGAAACAAACAAGAGAGAGCATCAATGTTACAGGCTTATTTATATATGGGCTTTGTTTTGTGTATAAAACTGGAGCAGCAAAGGAATACAACGGCTAGAGTTAGCACACAGGACCAGTGCAATACTATGACTGTCTCAGTATGGTCAAGTAACAATTATAAGACCCAGGTCACTCCACAATAAAAGTATCACAAATGAATTATATATAGCACCACCTCTCTCCTAATTCTCAACCTTCTACCTTAATTTCCTGTAAATCAAAGGGAAACAAAAATGAACTTAATGTAAGTTTCTCCTCAGGTCGTTCTTTTCCTCTTTCTCTCCTAAAATCTGAACACGAGATTATTGGGAAGAGAGTTAAACATGTCATTAATTATATTAAATTGTTTCTTGGCAGATAGGAGTTCCTAGTTGAGCTAGGATTTCATTCCCAACAATCCCAAAGAACATCCATTAATTGTCAGGTACTTTGACATTTCAAAATGAGACAGAAGGCAGCAGAGATAAGGTTTGCTTCAAGTATACCTCAGATAACAGGAAAATGCAATCTGCAATAAACCTTGGGAGAACCAGATTTGCTCTAAGTACACATTCGTCAATAAGTTGAGAATTATGGAGTTGTAAAGATAGATTATAGCTTGTATACAATATTACAAAAAAAAATCTATTTTGTCAACAAGCAAGTAACTATCCAAAAAAAGGCTTAAATTCTCTCCATCCCTAACCCACAACCAAATCTATATAATGTACGAGACATTTATTGTAAATGAAAATAGGTACGACTTAACAGTATACTCCCGTCTCATAATCTAGTGCTCATTTCCACATGATCAAACTTAAAAAACTTTGACCAAAATATAAAAATACAGTCATATGAGATATTGTAAGATTCATACCAATATATAGTTTTAAGTATCAAATTCTTCTTTTTTTTTTTTAATCAAAAAAAAAAAAAAAGATATTGATGTTCAACTGTAGGTCTCGAAGACTGAAAATAAATTCATGCACTATATTATGGTCAACTGTAACAATAAAAATTATTTTTGATTATTAATGTTACTACTACAGATTTTTCCACTACCATGGTTATATCGAAGTTTCAAAGGTTATATTTGAGCAAAAATCTATAGTAACCTTTAAAAGCCATTATTGATGATATGAAAAGTTTTTTTTTTTTTTCCTTGATTTTATTCATAATTGTTAGGGCTATGGGCTTTTGGTGGATGTTGGTGGTTACGTATGGTAGGGTTTTTTTCCTGGCCGAATAGGTGGTTTCAATTTGGGTGGATTTTAACTTTTGAGTGTAGTTGAAGGTGGTGGTGGTGGGGAGGTACAGGTAAAAATGCCGGTGGGGTAGTGGTGGCGGTTGCGGTGACGGTTTGGGTGGAAGAGGTGGTGGTGCATTGATGTTGGTTGGTGTGGAGGTGCAATGGGAAATCAAAGTAGAGGAGTTTAGGGGGTCTGAAAGGATAAAGGGAATAATTAAATTGACATTAAAAACAACAAAGGGAATCAAGCTTGCTTATCCCCTTTCCCGTTTCTAATTACCTTACACCAAATGCCCCCTTAATAAGGGACAACAAAAGTTATCACAATTTTCCTTACAGGTTATGATAATTACTACACCATAATTACAGTGATTGATATTGTTACTAATATGTTTATAAAACTAAGAATTATGCAAATAAATACACACCAATCCTAAAATTATCTTTAAGAGAGGGTTTGACATAGAAGTTAAGGGTAGAAGTGAAAGCAGAGGAAATTTTGTCAGAGAGAAAAGAGAGCAAAAAAAAAAAAAAAAATAAAGAAAGTGTCAAGGAGAGAAGAATGATAGGAAAACAAAATATAAGAGTAAATGCTGTTTTCAGCCCAAAAAGTTTTGGGGCATCCTAACAAGGTAAGAATATAAAATTCTGGGACAACCCAAACAAAAAATAGGAAGAAAATTCAGGGATGAAGAGAGTTTAAAAGATGAAACCAAAGGTAGCAAAAAGAACAGAAGACCAGTAGCAATGTCAAACTGAAAATGAAAGACCTCCAAGAAAAGGGATTGGGGAGGAGAAGGGAGGAGGGATGTCCTTGTTCCACTTCTAAAGGAAGTGTTTAAAATAACAGCCATGAATCTAGCAGTAACAATCAACGGTAAAATCACCTGGGAATGGCATGCAATCAAGCACCCCTCATCACAAAAACCACAACCAACTCTAAGATGAAATTACCCCACTATTGACCTGTTGCTAGTATGTTTTCAATACCAAATATCAACTAAATAATAATATATCAACAAAAATTTCCCCACTGTTTCTAGTATGTTTCACAATACAATGAAATTGCCTTTGGTATGACATGGGAAGAAAAATAGGAAGAAGGATATCTAGAAGAGGGTTATAATTACAACATTTTTGGGCATGAATTAGCAGAAAATAATCTCTCCCAGGCATTATTATGTCACGCCGTCACTACAGAATGAAAATGGGCATTAAAGGCATCCATTATTGAAGGTTTAATAATCATTGGTACATCACGTCGTAACTACGGAATGAAAATGGCCATTAAAGGTATCCATTACAGGTTAACATCTCAATATTCATTTCAGATCTTACCATTGGTATTCCTATTGCTTTAAGATCCTCGTCGGTCATGTGCTCAAGAGCTGTCATGTCAACCTAACAAAGAAAAAACAAAAAAAGCTAAGTTAGCCATAAAGAGTCCTCAAGAAGTAAAAAGGTCCACAATCACGTGCATGTGTAGCTTACTTCCTCTGCCTGAAATGTAATAAGATACTTTTCAAGACCCAAGGAGTGAAGAAACCCATCAACTGATGCATCAGCCTGAAAGAAATACAAATATCAATCATGAGAATGAAAATAAAAATTTTCATTAAAAAGACAATATTCTCCCTAACAGCAAAGCAGTAGGCAAATGACCAATAACCAGTAAAGCAATTGTTCACCCTAAAAAAAAAACCAGGTACCTTTAACCCAATACTAATAGATAGATAAATGGTGATACTGTGATTTCCCTCATATAATCATTTAAAAATGTTGAAAGGAATAATTTTACACAGAGCACATATGAAGTCCATAAGGGAAAGATAGTAGACCTTCTGTTGAGTTTTCTTCCTCGAAGTGGGGTTCGAGACTTTTTTAGGCTCCGCTACAGGTGTGGCAACAATGACACTTCTTCTAGCAGGTTTAACAGCCTCGTGTTCAGGTTTAGGCTTCTGAGAATCCTTATTTACTGGCTGAGAGTGCATTGAGCCAGACAACTTTTCACGAAGATCTCGAACACCTCCACCTTGGGTTTCATGCTGGCTGCTCCTCCTCTGAAGCTTCAGACGAAGATCACCTCCACCAAGTTTGCGCGCTTCAAAGCCAATTGATAGTGTCAATCCCAATGTCGTCTATAAAATAATAAAGGAAACTTAGTACTATTTAAATGTCTCAGCTGATCCATACATAATTGAGGTCGCTCATCTTGGTAAAGATCATGTTCCCATTTGTCATCCTGCCTTTGCCTGCAAATATGGACAAACGATTTCAGGAAAACACTCACTAATAATACATTAATGCTAACATTACAAGAAAAATGGCATGTCATATATTAAGACCAACAGCATAAATGAACAAGTCCTCATCATCCATGCCATGTATATATATATAAATATATATATATATATATAAGAATTCATCAGAGTTCTGTTAAAAGCATAGGTGGAGTAAAATTATAATTTAACACATGGGGCAATCTCTTAGTAACATTTATATAATCTCTGTTACAAATTACTTAGTTGAGCACACAACAGTACTCTGATGCACATAATCCACATCTTCATTCTTGGATCCATAAATTGGTTAAACTTAACTACTAGCTGCAAAGTAAGAAATGCCTTGGAAGTAAGTGACATGACGAATCATATGCTTCTTAAACTTACTAAGATAAGTCCTTTTAATCAATAGAAAGAAGATAGAGAAGTCATTATCAAGTTGCGGCACATGATGAAAAGATACCAAAAACATGCTAACAAAGTGTGCAAGACATTAGGGTTATCTAGTGAAAGTTGATCCCAAGGGCAAAGGGTCTTAAAGTCCATACAATCCACACTCCACAGACTGCATCGATGAAAAAAAAAAAAAAAAAAACTCACAGTATGTTTGGAACTTGAGGATGGAGGAACAGGAAGATGAGAATAGTAACGGATCAAAATATATCAGGAGGGATTAAGTAACACCAGGAAGGGGAGGGTGCGGATGAGGGAATCCTTCTGAGCTTAAAAATTCGGTACAACTGAGACAATAAAGATAGTTATCCCAGTGGAAATCAATGGATCAACCTAACCATGACAATGAAAAGCTTCAAAGTGACAACCTTTGACTTTATTCCTCCATTTTCTGTATATATATAAAAAAAAAAAAAGCAATAAACAATTCCCTCCCCTCTCCTTCGCTCCCCTTCTATATCATTATTACTAATGCAGAAAGTATGTAATTACTCTTTTCAAATAGAATTAGACACTTCTCAAGAGCATATAGTCACTGCTCACCAGTTCTGCCAGCAATAGCTCTCCGCCAAATTTCTCTTAATCAATCATAACAGCCCTAAATTAATGGCATTAAACACAGCAGTAACACAAGAATATCTGTCCCCAAAAACTGTTTGCCACTACCAACACCCAATGTTACTATCACTTATGCATGGAAGCGATATTAAACCCTAAAATCACAATCATTATTGAAGTTACAATAGGAGTAACATGCAAAGACGAAAAAGAGGCAACATCCAAGTTGGTATTTGTGTGGTCAAAAAATAGATAAAAAGAGAAGCTGCGGCTTTCAAGATCACGGTAAGAGGTAGAGCAACTGATAAACTCTGTTTAAAGGCAACATTTAGAAGCAAAACCAGGACATCAAACTTCAAAGTAAACCTCTAAAATGGTAAATAAAAAGAACAAATATCAGCTCACAAGTTTTTAAGTTACAAAGACACATTGAAGAAGTAAAGATGGGTTAGAGTTTAGACATAATCATTATGTTTGAAAGGCTTCAGCATGTATCAAGCCCAAGGAGTAAGACCCAAAAAAAACCCCTGTATTCCTGTACTTACTCCAATTACATAACATTCAAATTTCAGTCCATTATCAATGACAGCATAGCTTTTTTTTTTTTTTTTTTATGCATTTACATTAATTATTCTTCTGAACCTCCACCCTTAGTTTAAAAGGGCGCAAGGCGCACCAAGGCGCAAAAGTCCTTGGAGCCTAGTCGCAGGGCAAAGGTGTGTGCCTTATGTAGGTGAGGCACACTTTATTCGTATAGAAAAAAAAAAATCTATAAAATAAGTGTAAAATTGGAATCATGTGAAAAGGTGAAAAGGCCAAGTGATCAATAGCTAGGATTCTTCAAATCAAATTGGGGGATATGTGATTTCTCTCTCCACTATAAATGAATTAACTTGCCCGTCACAAAGTCCCATAGTGTTTTATAGAAAAGAATACCTAACAAAATAGCTATTGATGCTTTACAACATAAGGTCCAAAATAAGGTGCAAAGGCGCAAGGAGCAGCCTAGAAATAAAGCACAAAGGCGCTCGCCTTCTGTAGGTCTTTGAGCCTCACAGAGCTAAGGCGCCAACTCTTGAGCCTCATTGTGCCTTGCACCTAGACACGCCTAAGGCACGCTTTTTAAAACTAAGCCTCCACCAATGGTTCATTCTCCCAAAATAAGGTAAAATACGAAGAAGACTTGTAGTCTAAATGGTTCCAAGAACATCATAACCTTTCCTCACATGCCTTCAAAAATTCAGAACAGAGATAAACTAACCAGAAAAAAAAATGGAAAGCAAAGATGCAACAAACAAAAAAAGAACAGAAAGAGACAGGAATCTATTAGATCCTACAAAGAGTCCATCAAATTTCTAAATTATTGAAACCTAACTATGGTGAAAAGGGTGAAAATACCAAATCATCACTTAGTAGTCAAATGATCTAGACTATAAAGCTTCAAGTTTACATGATACCTGGAATCCACCAAATTTCTTTTCCTAAGCTTTTTATTTTTTAGGAACGATAAGGGGATCAACAAAATTTGGTTTCCTATTTAACAGCCAATAATCTAAAAGGGAAGGTAAAGGATCCTTTACCCTTTACCTCCAAGAGGCAGGCCTAGATGAGTTGGAGAATTCTTGAAAGCAGCAACGACAAAAAAATGACTTTTTCAGTACTATATTAAATGTCACCATCCCTAATCCCCAAAAGTACCAGTCTATATATTGACAAATAAAGACCATAACTAGTATTTAAATTAAAGGAGAAAAAAAAATCCAACACTAGATTCCATGAACAATTTCTATGACCTAAAAAGGGTGGGAATCAACATTTTTAAAAAAGAAGTAAAAAAAAATAACCGGAAGATATTCATAGTCAAGAGTATCTGACTATGACATAATTAGTTAAGGAAAAGAGGGTAACTTATATAAGACAGCTTCTAAAGTTAACAGTTTAAAAGAAAATATTAGTGGAGTCGAACCATAAGTGATGTTGAGAGGATCAAGATGTTAAAAAAGAGTTCGATATCACATACAATTTCACATAGCAGCAGTTACCAATTTGCTATCCTGTTAACATACAATTGGAGAAAGAAGATGTAATTGTAGCACTACGGATGAAATGAAAGAGCACAACCTTAGCAGAAAAATCAAGACCTAACAAAAGAAGTAAACCTGAAGTGTTGCGAAAGACTTGGATGGGAAACAAAGCGGAATATACCAGTTTTTTAGCACGTTCAACCATCGAACCAGATAACAAAGCCGGGCTCGACAAAACAAGCAGCAGCTAGAGAGAGTCACTCCGGTCTTCAAAAAAGGAGGTGTCCTAACGAAGTTCGTACCCTAGTTCAAACAACCTTCACTCAATTTCTAGTCCTCAAAACAGCCAGCAACTCAGCACCCTCAAACCTCGAAAAACAGAAAATAAAATCTCAGACTGCTAACCTAGTCCTACACTCCCACCATGTACACAGACTAAAGCTATGAATCAGTCATCTATCCTCCACCACCGACATTCTCGGTAGAGATTCTCCCAACTTAGCCTATGTAATCCAGAATGAGCAATCAATCTATACCTTACTCAATCCCCTAACCAAAAGTCTCAAATTCTATTCACCTTCGAAATGCTCGCTCATATTCAAGCATTCCTAAATAATCGTACTAATCGCCACCAAATCAATTGAATTTTCTATATACAATTACACGCCATAAACTACAACATTCACCAATTCAACAATAATTGAACTAAGCTAATGCAGAAGAATTTCAACAATCAAATTATAAAAAAATAATCATGATTATTACAAATTAATCATAGATTACCTCGCAGAAAAAGCAAAAAACCGACCTTTTTCCGGTGACGGTACGCCGGCGAATGGAATTACTGGCGACGGAGCCATTAAGCCTTTCTGTGATTGACGCCTTGGAATCTCCTTCTAATTTATCAGCATACATCTTGTCGAAAATCGTAGATGATGTCGGAGTTCGAAAACCCTAACCCTAGATTTTCTGGGAGTTTTGGTGAAGCGAGGTTAGTGACAGGATACTGGAGATTCGAGTTAATTTTAGAGAGAGAAACAAAGAGAAAAAGTGAGAGGGGAATTTAAACAGCCGAGATATTTTTTTTCTGAGCGAACGAGTTTGCTAGACATTTTTTTTTTAAAAAAAAAAAAAAAAACCTCAATTTCATTAACTAGAACAACTTACTAGCCTCGAAATTAGGTTAATTGAGTTTCTTTGCAACAATTCGAGCTTAACAAAGGAGTTCATTTCTTCAATGAAGAAAAATTGAGGTTTGGTTGGAAGAACTAGAAAGAGAAACTTCAATTGGAGGGAAAAGAGGGGAACAAAACTAAGAAAGGGGATTTTAATCGGACCACGTGAGTCTCACGTGATGAGTTAAAGTCGGTAAACTAAGTCAATGGCCTGAAACGATTTAAGGTGTGTCTTAAAAAAAAAGTTAGTTTTTCACAACAAAAGTCTTATAAAAGGTGTTATTTGACAAATTTTAATGCTTTAAATAAAAAAAATATTGAGTGTGAAAAATGGAATGCAGATGGAAATGTTAGTGGACCATCTCAACCAAAAGCTTAAGCTGATAGTTGAGGCCCAGGAATATGTTTTATACTCCATCACACCCCCTCACGCGAGAGCCCGTTTGGGCTAGAAGTGTGGATGCAGCATATGGGCCCTCCTCATACCCAACGCTTAATATTCCACTTGAAAGTGGGGCATGGATGAGATTCGAACCCGTAACCTTTATGTTACTCTGGCTCCGATACCATGTTAGTGGACCAACTCAACCAAAAGCTTAAACTGATAGTTGAGGCCCAGGAATATGTTTTATACTCCAGGAAATATGTTTATGGTAGAAGCTTCAAATATTGAGATTAGACAGGAGTGAACCTCGAGATCATTTTCCTAATAGTTTTTTTTGAAGGGATGTCCAATCTAAAAGTTTTAGTGCTGAAAGAAATGGACTTTTCATTAAGGTTGCCCAATTCCATTACAAAATTGAGTAGTCTCCGAACGTTACACTTGGAGGAATGTAAGTTAGGAGATATATCAAGAATTTGTGAGTTGGTAAACCTTGTTGTTCTTAGTCTTCGAAAATCGACTATTGAGGAACTACCAGAGGCAATAGGGATCAATCTTTGCAATCTTCGTTTGTTAGATTTGAATCATTGCACTATCAAAAGGAGGAAAGGAATACCTGCTAATGTCCTGTCTAAGCTCTCTAAGTTGGAAGGATTTTATGCTTATAGATACGGCCAGAGACCATGGAAATATGACAATGATGTTAAAGAAGAGAGAAGTGATCGATATGCATTTGCACGCATTGGTGAGCTGAATAATTTGAGGTACCTCAAAGTAGTTGAGTTATTAGTCGAGTTCAATGAATGGCCAATTCGCGATGACGAGCTCCAATTTGTCAAAAATCTGGATCACTTTCATCTATCATTTGGATGGACTTGGTTAGCTTCAAAAACACACTCTCGTGTTTTAGAGTTTATAGGTGTAGATAATGTGAGCTCAATTGCAAAATACAAAAGTTTAGGGGTATTGCTTGAGAAAACTCAATTGTTATTGGTGGAAAATATGTGGAAGTTGCAATACATTTTTGATGACTACTTCCAACAACAAGAAGAGGAGACCAAAACACACAGCTTTTTATTGGGAATTTGTAGTGTTATTCATGTTCCTGAGCTTCCACACTTGCAGCACATAGAAGTTATAGTATGCCCAAAGATGCATTCTATCTCTTCTACACTTTTTAAGGCACCAAACTTAGACTTATTTATGAAATTCCTTTTTCAAGAGCGTGTTCATCATCAGCTGAATGTAGATGGAGATCCAAATTATATTGTATTTCCTTGTTTAAAGCGAATGACCCTATTACATCTTCCGAAGTTAGAAAGTGTTACGGGAGTAATCATCACTAATAAGGATGATCAAGAGGTTGGAAATCATATTCTTTTCAATCAAAAGGTACGTACTATGTCAATACGTATTTTTCTTGATAATATTCTCCTCAACTACTACGTATATATCTTTTAAAATGTTAATATTTTGTCAATACTGCAGGTGATATTTCCATCGTTGGAGGAGTTGAAAATAACTAATTTGTATAAAATTGTACAACTGTGGGAGTTTAACTTTAAGGCGAATTATTATTCCAGTTTTCAAAATTTGCGCAACTTAAATATTGATTTTTGTTGCAAGCTTAAAACTTTAGGATGCCACTCAATAGCAAATGCACTTGTACAACTAAAACAATTATCCATAAGGGGGTGTCCACTACTAAGGGAAGTAATAGGTTTAGGATAGGAGGAAACTAAAATTACTAAATTTGGTGAAGAAATCTTTCCATCCCTTGAAAGTGTTCGACTAGAAGACTGCCCCAAATTGAAGATTTTTATATCCGGAGGATATCTTAAGTTGTCATCTTTGCAACAACTTAACATTAACAATTGTCCGAAGATGCAGTCTTTCTCATCTGGACTTCTTTTCGAGGCTCCCAAATTAAATCAAACTAGATAAAGCCCGTGCAATGCACGGTTTGTTTGATTTTTTTTAAATAATGTTTTTTTTTTGTATTTATGAGCCTAAAATTTGTTATATATTTAGATAAAATTCCTAATATTAAAAGATAATATATAATATTTAATTAATTTAAACTTAAAACTCTCATTCGTCAATTTTGCTTACATAGCATTTAAATTATTTAATTCTAAAAGAAATTAATAATCTCTTATTTAATTGGCTACTACTAAGATTTATAATCCTACATGGCGCCTGAGAAAATTAGATCCTATGTGGCTCTATAAAAACTTGGGAAAAAACTCCCCTTTATATATATATATTAGATTGAATTCAATCATGTCAATTATTCAATCATGGACAAGACTAAAGACATTAATTCCTTTTTGCAAAACTTCGACAAACCCAAGGTATATGTTTCTCTATAATCCTCAACTTTTCACCGATCTTTCTAAATTATTAGGGTGGTTAATGTGTGCGATGCATGCGCACACCATACCTAACCCAGTATGGTGAGTTGTTTGATTTGTTGGCAACATAAAGAGGGAAAATATGTAAACAAATATTTTTAGGGTGTATTTGTCCCCGCATTGAACATTATATCAATAGGGCATATAGGTAAATAAATATTTTAAAATATAATAGTCCTGACATTATTCATAAGTGTTTGTCATACTTTTTAAAAGGTAGAGTAAATATTATTTAGCTTTTTTTTTTGAAAAAATTATTTAGCTTATTTTAGTATAAGAGTTAATTTATATTATTTTCCAAAATCGAAAAAAATAATTCTAAACCACCTTATAAATTAAAAATAAGACTAAGACACTATCTTCATAATTTACCATCTTTAAGACACTATCTTCATAAAAAAATAATAATAATAAATAAATAATTACGAAGTATGTGCTGGTAAAAGTATGTCAATTAAATCAGAAGAGAGGGAGTAATTTCTTTTGTGGAATTTTACAGCCACGTGAATTTCAATTGAGTGTCAAGTCAATAGTGTTTTAGCTAAAAAAACAACAAATACATTATCAACGAACCAAAATATCTTATAAAAGCAATTAAGAGTAAGTTAACAATCAAAGTCGTGCATTGAAGATCATATAAAAGATAAAAAGGGATAAATCATTACTGCAATATCTTATACTACCTCTGGTCCAAATTACTCGCAACTTTGGAATATTATTTATGAGATATAAAATATTCCAAAGTTACGAGTAATTTGGACCGGAGATAATAAGATTTACACTTGAGTACTTACTTGATTCACTTATCAAAATTTGGGTACTGTTACTGTTAGAGTAAATTCTAAACGATTTTTGATAAAGTATTTATTATCTTTTTCTTTTAGGGATTTTAAATGCTACATTGTTCATGCAGTGAATGCATCGTCGAAGAAAAGAGCAAAGGGGTAGCGGTCATATAAAGCAGAAACACGAACCAATAAATTACCTCAACAAGTTTAGAATATCATTGTAGAAAACTTTCGGTTGATATGGTTGCCAGAGAATCGAACCAATTTACTTCTTTGTATGATGAACACACAATGTTATAGTATATTTTATTTCATATTAATGTACTCATACGTTTCAAATTACTTGCAACAAATGTATTCTTATCTCTCTCCTAATACATACTGGTATCTATGCACACAATACATGGAAATCTACATATTTCATATATATACGACTACTTTATTAATAAGTACTCCATAAGATAAAACCTTTCAAAGTCTATTTTAATAAACATTTTAATTGCCTAAACTATTTTATTTTTATTTAAAATAAAAATGATTAAGGAAATTACATAATTTTAGGAATTAATTTTAAAAATTTGGCAATCAAATCTCCACGACTAATTCATTCCCATGTGCAATAGATATATTGAAGTAATTGAACAGAGGTTTTTCAATGCGGCAGGTTACATGGTGCGACAGGGTTACTTGTAGGGTACTAGGGTGTTACTGGTTTTGTTAAGGGTTATTTGTATATGTTACTTGTATTTTAGGATTACTTGTATGAGTTGCTTGTGGGTGTTACTTGTATTTTTGGGTTACTTGTATGAGTTGCCTGTAGGTGTTACTTGTATTCTGAGTAACTCCTACAAGTAACCCCAGACCAAACCCCCATACCAAACAAGTAACACCCTATAAGCTAAGTAATCCCTGATCAAAACCAGTAACACTCTACAAGTAACTCCAGTATACAAGTAACACTCACAAGTAACACCCACAAGTAACAACCTGACCAAAACCAGTAACATCATACCAGTAACCTCAGAATACAAGTAACACCCCACAAGTAACCCCTATCGCACCATGCGGCCAGCCATATACAAAAGTTTGTATGTTGAATTAGACAAACAAAAAATTTTCATGTGGCTGGCCACATGAAATTACTTATTCAGAGGTTACTCGGTCGATCAAGAGTTACTCTCACACTGAAAACACGCTAATCAGTTGATAACCTCATAATAAGTAACTCTTGACCGATTCAATAACCATTGAATATGTAACCCCAACCACATGAGCCACACAGAATTAGCGTCGTTGATCAAAATATACCGATTAGTATACGTGGACATGAATATGTAATTACTAGTATAAGTTTAAAATAATTGCGTTACCTTAAAAATAATAAGCTTCAGATAGGTCAAATATTAATATTTCTTATCAAACTTAGCTCAAACAGACTAAAACTCAACTCGACTCAAATCATTTATAGCCCTAGTGAATATGGAGATTGGGCTTGAAAAAATAAAAAGGATGATTATGTTTTATGATTACTAAATTTAGTTTAAACCAATTTTAAAACTTGTTTAAAATAAAGCTTGAACACGAAGGTAGGAATGTGCGTTCATATTAGAAAATACTTCCTCCGTTTTTTATTACTTGACCCGCTTTGACTTTTACATTATTTATTACCTCTCCTTTGACCGTCTTTTGTGAATAATAAGTAAGGAAAAATATATTCATGTATGATCATTTTGGATTCGTCTCAATAAGTACTATCATAATATATAACTTTTATAATTTTTACTTATGGAGAATTTAAGTTATTGATCGTTAAAGTTTTACATTGGCTCTCAATAAGTACTATCATAATATATAACTTTTATAATTTTTACTTATGGAGAATTTAAGTTATTGATCGTTAAAGTTTTACATTGGCTCTCAATAAGTACTATCATAATATATAACTTTTATAATTTTTACTTATGGAGAATTTAAGTTATTGATCGTTAAAGTTTTACATTGGCTCTCAATAAGTACTATCATAATATATAACTTTTATAATTTTTACTTATGGAGAATTTAAGTTATTGATCGTTAAAGTTTTACATTGGCAAGCGTGATAAAAGAAACAGTTCAAGTAACAAAAAAAAGGAAATAGTAAACAATTGGTATGTACGTAAGTACATTAGTGAAGTTCTCGTACATTAATGTTTCATTTTGATAAATAGATGTAAGTCATGAAATACAAGTAGTCAACTGATGACACATTCTTGTATAGAGTATGATCTAATGTAAGAAGGAAATATATTACAAACTGATATGTGGGTATTGACTGCCAAATAATTTAGAAGTGATGAAAGGTTTCTGCATGCACAACAAAGCTAAGCACCGAAGCCTCTCTTTCCAAGCTTCTAGAAACAGACATGGACAAACATGTAACATAACTCCTGAACTATATTACACTTGATCACACACTTGATAGTTGATACTATGCCACAATGATCCAATCTAGTGCTCTGAGTCAAGCTTTTGTCTGCTTAGATATCCTCGTCGATGCACTTAAGGCAGTTCAACACTATCAACAGAGAGTAGTCCGAAAAAGGGATTTGTTATTGCGGAATGCAATGCAGACAAGGCTGAATTTAGTGTCACCATGTCAACCTTCTCCCGAGGAAGATACAAGAACTGCCCCCTATTGGTTCTCTCAAACCCACAGAGTTCCAGAAATCTGACACCTCCAATCAGACTGCCAACACTTTCCTGATTTATTTAAAAAGAGGGTTGCTATCAGCTAAATCATACAATATGACAAGAACAAAAGTTGATACATGCCATCACAGCATATATTGGGTTAATTATCCTGATAGTAGTTAATAACTTTATATAGAACTCCAGGATTCCAATCATTTTTCTTCCGTACAATTACAGGAACTGTCACAACACAGTTTAAAATATGTTTGTAATCATCTAAGCTTCTGCAATATCTTTATCATCTCCTTTACATGTACCATATTTCCCAATTTTACGTAAACCACCCATGTCGAGGTTATGTTGAATTAAAACTCCCAAGGCAATCTGAAAGTACAAAGAGTATTCATATGATACGTGAAGTGCATACCTGGAAAATTGGGTTACTGAGCCGTATCTTCCTGTATTTTTCTACATCAGGATTCTTCACGACATTTCTAATGTATATTGGGAGAATTTGGAAAGCCTTCTTTACTCTAGCATCTTCATCCTACAATTACATAGCCAGACTTTATATAAAAGAAAATATTATGGACATGTGTAACATGAAGAATGTTCAGTAATTGCAGGTTCACAGCTTCCAACTCAACAAAATTTATCGAGAAATACTGTGGTTTTAAATGATATTATTCAAGATAATCAATATTAAGAATTAACAGTAAAAAATTATGCTTGATCTAGCATCATAACTGAGCTAGAAGCTTTTTTAGAATTGAATCTGAAGAGTGGAAGTGTAAGCTTCGGTAACATCCAACAGACATGTGATGCCTATATGAAAGTATGAAACACATATCCTTACTCGGAATGTGCTACAAGCATATTGCAGAGATAACCTTTACCAAGCTTAATTTCGAAAACTGCCCTGCCTCCCTCCAACTCAAAATTTCATGATCTCTATAATCCCTATTATTAGGCACACATGCTTTTATTTGGTTTTAGAAAGCAAGTCACAAAGTCTCACAATCCCTAAAAGGCCTGAAATAGCAATCTTTCACTGAATATACTATCTTTACCTAAGCATGTCAAAGTCTGAACCTCATACAATTAAGAAAATTGAGCCCTAAAACAATTCAATTTATTAAAAGAGAAAATCATTTTGATCATATTCAAAGTCTGTTTTGTCAAGTTAGACAAGATGTCAACATCAGGCACTATCGTATGCTATCAGTCTAGAACCATTTCAAGAAAATTCTATTAGCCACTTTTCATTCTTTCATTTTACCATACCAAATACTACACATGGCTCTGAATCTGGAATAAAACAGTATTCATGGTATAAATGAAGTCATGAACAGAAGAAATTGGTCTTGTAGGAAGTCAATTTTTTGTTTTTGTTCAATAGTTTTGAACTTCATAACCCCTATATAGGAAAAGTGAAAGGAGGGTTTATGAAATTACTCAGCTAGTTCTGCTTCTAACAGATTAACTTAAAATGAAAAACCAAGCCACTAACCTTATGGTAGCGCCTTAGACTTCTTAAACAGTCACACAGAAGCTCCACCTTTTTAGTAGATGTAACAGGCTTTGAAACCCAAGTATGATTCAGTAGATAACTTTTGAAATTAAATATAGACGATAAAAAAATATATAATCCTTTCAGAAAACATTTTTTAACTGTAGGCCAAAGCCTACAAAAAATAAAAAATTGCAACTCCAACTCAGCACTCCTCTCCAAATCAAGAGAGATCAAGTAAAGCAAACCTCTGTGGCTTTTTTCAGTACCATATGACTTGCCGTCGATGCCGATTGTACTGATGAAGTAGCTGCAGGTGATATCCCTAGCCTTGACCGTCTTTCTGCCTGTAACTCTTTACCAATAACAAAAGAATCATATATGTCCACGACTACTCACTATTTGCAACAGAAATTCTCAATAACAAGTAGTCATTTATACCAATGAAGCCTTTAGGATCAAACCAAAACTGCTTCCGTATTTGGTATAGGAGATCAATGAAAATTTAAATTTGGTTTTTGACTGAGTTGTCAAGAGGTATCCAAATTTAACATGAAGCAATAAATAAGCCGTGTCTATAACTTAAGATTGTGAACATACTGATACAAGCCATCCTCATAAAGAAAAGGTACCACTATCAGATGCAATTCATTGTGGAGTCCACATGATCCTAGGAAGACTAATAGAAAGCAGGATGATGGTTTAGGTATGACTTAATCTGACTGAACTTAGTAAGTATTAACAAGTGTAACATAAAGCAGGAAGATGACTGGAATCAGAAAAGGACCTTATCTGCTTCAAACTTTTGGCGTATCTTCTCCCTTGCCTTACTTTCCTCCTCTTTTTCTGCTTCACGTAAAGCAATCATTCTGTTGAAGCAGAGAATGACAGTCTCAAATAGGCATTTGGAAGATGAATATCAAGATAGTAGGCACAAGCAGATTATTTACCAACCAACTAGCTTACAAGATACCTTTTTCTTGCATTTTCTTCAGCAGTTTTCTTTGCTTCCATGATTCTCTTCCCAGCTTGAATCCTCTCCTACAGCATCAAACTGTTAATTTGCATACCCCAATAGAAAAAAAGAACATCTCACTGCTTCTGTAAGTAAAATCTCTACAACAGTCACTTACATATTAAATAACAGCAAACTGTAAAAAATTGAAAGCAGTTAACACTTAAAGGTCTAGTTCCCTCACCCTTTTTTTCAAAAAATAAGTTTGAGCATTATATAACCTCTCATACAATTTTTGTCCGTAAATACATTAGACAAGCAACAACTTGTATAAGCAACATGATGACCTTCAAAAGGTGCATGGAGCTAGCACACCTACAAGCTACAACTCTACAAGTCACTACTCATTAGACGTATATCTCAACTATGTTAATCAAACTATTCATTTCGCCTTAAGTAACCAATCAACATTCTGACATCGTAATACGGTATGTACAGTTGGACACTTGACACTTCATTTTGGATCAAAGTCACGGGACTTGTTCATAGTATAGCTGGCACCAGGACACATAGCCATGTCTGATACATGTTCGCATGTCTGAGTTATGTTAATCTCACCCACCCAATAAGGACTCTAACGGGTGTATAAGGTAAACAATTAAATGAAAAACCTTAAGTTGAGGTTTGACAAAAATAAAAACTGGCCCATCCAAAAATTTAACAAGCATCGTTGCATTATGTTGATGCAAATGAAAATATTGGGGCTATTAAGCTTACTAAATTTCTGAGTTCCACATACGCAACATTTTTGATGTCCTAAGCCAATTGACAATTATACCAAGTACTTAGTAATATTATCCTAGAGACATGTATGGGAACCTTCATAAATCTAAGCAGATCAGGATAGACCCATGGTATACTCCTGTAAATTTGTAATACATGTAATGTCATATTAGTAGCATTGTATTAATACACGTGATTGATGAACCAATATAGATCAGGATATGCACAGAGCATATAAAATTGCATGTTAAGGCAAAATCAGTTATCAGCATGATCCTCCAGAGATTAGAAATAGACTACAGCAACCTACAAGAAGAGCATGCTTCTTCCACAACCAATAGTTCTATCTTCCATACAAGGTAGCTCTATCGTATAATTTAAGCAACTGTAAAAATGACATAAAGTTCTTTAGAAAGGAACTTGAGGAAATGGAAATCTACATATTACATCAGGACCACCATGGGTGTCAAGTTGTGACACTGTCAATGAAGAGTACATACATAGGAAACAAAGCAATATAATACCTTTTCTCCTTCCCTTTCCAGCTCCTTCTCTTTTCTTTTGCTCAATTGGTTGGCTCCAATCCTAAAGTAGATGCAAAATAGTAATGAAAGTTTAAGGTCTTTTCCCATGAGTAAAACTCTTTTCTTATAACAAAGCTTCAAAGAATATTCATATTAGCAGAGAAGAAGAATTTAAGCCAAATTTCCAACATACAACCTCAGATTTTGTGCCTTGATCTTCACTTCTTCTGTGATAGGAAATGGTTTGGTTGCATCCAAATTAATATCCATAGGTACCTGAAGCACTTGAAAAGTTATTATTAACTGGTCCAAAGCACAATCATACTTCCGGCCACAGATTTAGAGATTTCAAGCAAATACACATGCTCTAATAAATATATCCTTTCAATTAATCAATCTTGTTCTATCATTCATCATAAAAATCAGTAAGAAAGATATGAATAATAATAGACTTTCCTCAATCCTTGATCATAAATTTCCTCTGAAAAATATGAACTAGAACTAGAAGGGGCAAGATCTCAAGATAGGCAAATGATAAAGAAAATTTACAATCATTTAGTTCAGCCTCAATGAATATCAAATCCTGATTGTAGCAAGAAAGCACATCAATTGAGAATCTCAGCAAGGTCATTTCAGGGTGAGTGGATCACTTGTAACGAAAAGTTTTGAGGGGTAAAATTTGGAGTTATTGTGGTATCAAACAGAAGATAGGTCTCTCAAACAACATGGTTTTTCTCTTACAAGCCAAGCAGACAAGAGAAACATTAAACATGTAATTCTGTTGGTAAATAGTTGACATAAGATGCAAGGGAAGGACCCTTGAAAAAATGACAAAAGAATATCTTACTAATTTACAAGAGAATGTGAGAGCTAGAGAGCATGTTTGAAAATTCTCATGTTTTAGCATGCAACTCTGCTAGTCTCATCTTTGAGAAAGAATAGGCAGCAACAGTGGATAGGGTCTTTATTATACCTCGCTATGATAAAGTTAAAACTTAGAGTCCTACATAGTATCCGAACCCAACGTATACACATAATCAAGGAAACAAATATAGCTATTTATTTTATTGGCGGGGACATATTTCTCTTGAAAACATACGGCAGTACAGAGCACAACTAACCTATTAGGCATTTCAGCATAGCTTGTACCTTCATAAAATAAAGAGTGAGGAGAAATATCCTTAAGCAAAAACAACAAATTAAAAATTTGATATCATACCAAAGGAATCTCATCTATATCTGAGTCATTTTCATGCTCAACTATCCAATTCATAGCATCTTCCAGACTAGTATTTCCTGAGAAAAGATGAATAAATAAGATAAATATTTAGATGCAGAACTGTAAGCTAATCTAAGTTGACAGCTACCCTCAACACTCTTAGTTCTAAAGTCGAGTTTACAACTGCCCTTATAGAGTTACAGTATCCAACCCACTTCCTTCCACACTGTCATATAATAAACCAGGCAATCATCCAACATAACAAGAGCAAGAAAGAACAAAAAGCAACATTACAGTAAAAAAAGTGACAGTGATGAGGATATGATAGCGTTGTAGCTTCATTTGTAAATTTGATAACACTTAAGTTATCAAAAACATAACCGTCAATATTGAACAAATATGGGAAATGTTCTTACTTAGAGCAACAAATTTATATGAAACTGCCAAAAACTTCATTGACATAAGTCCACATGACTAAATTTTCTCCCTAACATTACTAACAAAGATACATTTTTTTTTGAGGGAATTACTAACAAAGATACAAAAGAAAAACTAGTTCACCAGAATAATGAAGTGACCGAATTGATCGAGCTAATGAAAACCCCATTTCTTCCAATTGTTCCAGCAATTTCTTGTCTACTTTAGGGACAGCCATTTCTGAAACACATAACAAGCACACTATAAGCTATAACATCTACCATCAAATATTTTGTCCTTCATAAATCTCGAAATTTAGAGATGAGCAATAACAATCACCTGACAAGATCATAAAAAATAAAATAAATAAATAAATAAATAAAAAATAAAAAGGAAAAAGGAAAAAAAAAAAATCATAAGCACCACAATTCATAGTCACATATAATCAAATAACAAGATCATAATAAGAGCAAAATCGAAATCAAATCAAATTCCTCAGCTGACAAACAACAACAAAGATATGAACCCCCAACCATTTATACCACGAAAAGCAATATCAAATTCAACAACTGGGACTTTCATATAATCAAATTTTAAGATACCCTTTAATCCACAAGACCAAATTGGCAAATTTCAAACCCATTCATGATAAATCAGCAATTAAACTTAAAAAACACGACATTTTTTTATAAATTAGAAGTTTTGAACCCACTGAATTAATTCAAATTCACCACATTTCATAATCATAAAGCAATTTCAGAACTTAAATTAACAAATGTAACTGTACCGATTCAAACTTTGAAGAATTTCTGAAAGATGAGAATAAAGAAGAATTGCAGCATTGTAGGTGAACTGGGTAAGGGGGGTTTATAAGGGTGGAGATGAAGAAATTGATGGGGTTTTCGTAAGGGGTTCAGAAGAATAGCCATTTTGAGAGATTCTTTGAAAATTGCAGAGAATTGTTGTAACAAGAATCGAATAGAAAACCCTGGATTACTACTTCTAGCAATCTCTGTCTTGCTCTACAAATTAAATTTTGATTCCAAATTTATATTTTTGGGTTAACTATGGGCGTAAGGAAAGAATTTGTAATATGCCCTGTACTCAGTATTTCAGTAATAGAGGATCAATAACTAACTACCCCGCCACACTTTGTACGTCCTCGCTATGAATCCTACAAAGTTCCAAAGGAGCACTACCTAGAATAAGAAGATTATCCGATTGAGCCACTCCACGATTGGCGAGCCAATCAGCAGCACGATTGCCCTCAAGGAATACATGAACCGCCGTGACCTAATTATGATTTTTGCCGAAGAAAAAAAAATTACAAATTAATACGATTATAATACGTATCCTAATAAAAAAAAATACATATTCATGTAACTAATTTATTTCCATATGTACAAATCATTATGATCGATTAAAAACTCAATATGCATCATACAACACATAATAAAAAATAAATAAAAAAATTAAAATAGGGCGGTATATTTTTCTCAATCCCAAAATCCCCAAGCATCATAATTTATTTATGGAAACAAATAACTAAACTAGAAAGTCAAGTAACACAGGAAACAAAGTCTGTCCTAATGATGATCACATTTACTAGTAATAATAAACACACTCAAATTTATCACACAAGTCAATATGTGAGTTTGACTTTTTTTTTTAGTGCTTACAATGTTATAAATATCACAAACTTTAAAAAAAAATCGGGTGTACAATAATTATTGTACATCCATTATAAAGATAGCGTAAAGTGATTAAAAGTTACCCCTGAAATGAATAAAAGTTACCCCAATATGCGTAAAACTAACCCAATTCAAATAAAAATTATCTATGATTTATTAGTAAAGAATCACATTTTAAATGACTAAAAATCAATTATTAGTGATTGAATATAATTAAATTACCTTTATAAAACTTTTCTTGTTGTCTAATTAAATAAAAATTGTATTATGTATAAAGGTACCCAAAAAAGGCAAAAAGTTACCCTAAAATTAACTAAAAGTTACCCTTATACTGCTCGATGTACACTAATATTAGTGTAAATCGAATGTATACAAAATTTTTTGTATAAATATATGATATTGTTAAACTTCATGTTAATATCTAACAAAAAAGTTTTACACGATACAAATTGCTTATATACCTCAACCAAACACTATAATTAAATTTATTGTATATGAATAGTGAAAAAGAAAAAATCAAAGTGTTTCAATTATTATGAAGCTAAGGGAGTTGATCAAGTTGAGATTAGGTAGAATTAGTGAATGTGTCTACACTTCTAAATTATTGATTTGAGGGCTTAATATCAGTAAAGGTGGCATAGGTGGTGGCGTATAGGCCAATGTGTCTTGTGCTCATGCTAATCAGCCTTAAATAGGTAATAATATATGTTTCGGGTGAAAACAATGGGACCTTGCCGAAGGTCCGCTGAAATGGAGAAGGCTGGATTCGGTCCAAGTTATGTTGGGCCGAAGATTTCCTGCACAGTAAACACACGTAAACTAGCCTCGGGGGTGTTGCCGAGGAAGGCCCCTCCGATGCTAAAGTCAGTACAATGTGTAAGAAGAAGGCACTATGCAAGAGAGTTTGTTGCTTGAGGCTTTTTGGAATATCTCAGAATATATGAATGAACCTATGAATCTATGAATGAATCAGAATATGAATCTCTCTCCTTGAATGTATCAATATGATGGCTTTTATACCTCATCATACATGGAGAGGTTGGGCCTTAGCCCAATTGGCTTGCTTTGTGGGCTGACCTTTGACTTTAGCACAATTGGAGAGTTGAACCTTGACCTTGGGCTTTTAATTGGATCATTTAGTGCTTAGGCCCAACTGGACTAAATTGGACCCAAACAACTTGCCCCCCAGACCCGATTTGGAAGGATGACGGGTCGGGTTTGATTTAATTCAGAAAAGGAGGGAAGTAAATGATTTAATTAATCCAAAAATTTGAATTTAAACCGTAATTAATGAGATAACAACGATTAATGATTGTGGAAGTTGGACGGATAATGGGCAGTTTAATCACAAGATCATGTGTTTAACGGTTACTTAGTGGAGTATTTAAGAGAAATTAAAACGCAGACTCCTCGTATCCCGTACCTGGAGATATAAACAAAGGCGCGTCATCTCTCCTCACTTATTCACCAACACAAACCCAGAATTCTCGAGAGAGAAACCAAGAACCCGCATCAAAACTTCGCAAATTCCCCGAGCATTAAGCTTAGAAACTGAGACTTGCCACTACGAACTCGTAAATCGGCAACTTTCGCTTCAGATTAAGGTAAATTCCTTTGATTTCAGTTTATTTTTCTTCGAATTCGAACTCCTTCCCCTTTTCTTTCGACTTTTTTTTCTTTGAAATAATCAATGGCAAGAGGAGTTAGAGGTAGAGCCCGTGCTCCAAGAAGAGCAAGGCCGATTCCCGATCCTAGGAACAGGATTGGGACCTGGAATGGACAAAGGCCGGAGTCTGACCCTGCTGAAGGGATTAGGGCGACTCCCCTTTCCTCGGCTCCTCCTCAGAGAACGGAGGAGCCGAGCGCTTCTGGACGGGATGATGAAGTTCCCGCTGTCCTTTGGGATATCCTCCCCGGGTTTTCAGAATGGGAGAATGCCGAAGTTGCTTCGGCCATGATAAAGAACCGCCCCTACCCATGGTGGGTGGAGAATGCCGATCAATATCGATTTGCCGAGCAAATTGAGTTGCATTACGGCATTTTTGAAGCTGATGGGTACTGGTGCCGAATGCCCTCGGCATCCGATAGAATCCATCGTCCACCCCCGGGGTATGTGGGGGTGTACACGAGACATCTTCAGTACGGGCTGAGGTTCCCTTTGGACGTATTCGTCCGAGACTTGCTGATCCATTACAACATCTCTTTATGTCAGTTAACTCCCACCAGCATCCGAAGGGTGATGACATACTTATGGGTCTGCAAGTTCTTCAAGTACGTGCTGAACCTGCACTGCTTCAAAAAGCTCCATCGGCTAGTGCCAAATATTCAAAGTGGGCACGGAAGCCATGGTTCTGGGTGGTACCGGATTGAGTCCCGGCCCCAATACCTAACCATGTGGCCAAACGACTCTTCAGACAAGGACTGGAGAGGTCAATGGATTTGGGTTAGGGCACCCACAGATCCGGGCCACCCTTGCGTCTTCAGCGCTCCCCGGTACCTCGCTGAACCTGATCCCGAAATGGGAAGTCTAGGTCCCCCCGCAGATAACGGGGCGGATCCGAACCTGGATCAGCAACATATCTTCGGCAAGCTGCCGAACCGGGGGGGCAGTGGCCGAATGCAGCATATCCCGGAGACTTGGCTCCCCGATACGCATTACGTTTTCCAAGAGAACATGCTAGCAGCTGTTGGCCTCAGCCGAAAGTTTAAGGATGGTAAGCTTCTTCGGCTGGGGCCGAGGCTTTTTAACTATCTCTTTTTCTTCTCTCGCTTCGCTTTTTTATGCTGTGCCAACCTATCTGAGCTAACCTTTCCCCTTTCCTTTTTTCAGAGCGGGACGAGACCAACGTTGGCATTAACTACGCTCGTCTTGGTGTCAACCGAGAACGAGTTGTAACTGAACGGGCCCCGTCTATCACTGAGCCGAGGCATAGGGAAGTTCATCTAGACTCTTCCCACTTCCAAATTGAGGCTGTTGCTCTGTATCAGAGGCAGAAGCCTTGGTGGAAGAAGAGAGACCCCTGGTTTCAGCTGCTGGACGAAGAAGCTGAAGCTGCCCGCACAGCCGAAGAGGTTGCACGGGTTCTCGAAGCTTGCGAAGGAGGAGAAGGGTCCTCCAGAGCTGCTGAAGCAGAAGCTGCAGCTAGAGCAGCTGAAGAAGACGAGGCTTTGCTGAAGACCTCGGTGAGCTTTCAGACAACTTTTTCTTTTTTCTTTTCTTCTTTTTTTTTTTTTACTCACATTCTTCCTCCCCCCTGTCTGTTACAGTCTGAAGAGAGTAACAGACACAGAGAAGGCAAAGCTCCTGTTCGTCCCGAAGACCAAATACAAGGAGAGTCTTCAGACTCAGATATGGACGAGCAGCCCCTTCTGAAAAGGCGTCGAAGAATGGCCATCATCGGCCCTCATGACTTTCAGAGGAGGCCGATGACCATCGGCGTTGCAATAAGGGAACCCGAGGAAGGCAATGGATCGCCGAGGGTTCCCCGGCCACCACCCCAATCACCTCAAAAGACCCCTCCGCCACCTCCTGAGATGGAGGTGGATCAGAAAACTCCCGAATCTAAGGGAGGGGTCCAAGAAGAAATTAGGGAGAGTGCTGCTGAGCACGAAAACAAGGATGCCGTGATGTCCAGTGCTGAGGGCTTCACGGCAGACATCGCAAGAGAGGTTGAGGCTTTCGTCCTCACCCCTGAAGAAGAGGAGGTCATAGTAATTGACTCCTCTGAGAAGGATGATGCTGAGCCATCCAAAGCTAATCAAGCTCCATCGTCATCCTTCCCTTCTTTCCAGACTCTGCAATCTGGAGAAATGGGTTTCTCGGCCCCCGAATTCCAATCCCAGACCACATCTGGGACCTCATATGGGGTCAGAACCGAGAAGGAGCTGCAGCCTACTTCGGCGATTTTGCTGGCATGTCCGAAGTAGATAGGGCAAGGATCTGGTCGCTGAAGGCCACTGCTGGGATGGGCGAATCCAGCAGATCAGTTCCTGACCCAGCCAGGTCTAACCAACTGCTGATGATGCAGGTAATTTTCCTTGTCTTCATTTCCTCTGAAATTCAGCTCTATATATTTTTTTTATTTTTTTTATTTATTTATTTTTTGTCTTCCTGTTTTCAGTTCGTGCACAATCAGACTCTCACTGTAGAGCTGATAGATACCCTACAAGATAGGATAGACGCTGCTGTGCACGACAAGAAGGTGGCTGAAGAGGAATTAAAGCTTGCTAAGCTGAAGCAAGCAGCAGCTGAAGAGAAGCAGCAGAAGGGTGAGGAGTATGAGAAAAGAGCTGCTGAAGCCCTCAAAACCTTCTGCGACGCTATGGAGAAGGAAGTTTTTCCCCCACTGATGGAAGGGGAAAAATTCCTCCAGGAGCATATGGGAGTGGACGTCTCCAAATTCAAGGCTGCTGTTGAGAGCCGAATTCAGGAAGGAGCTGCTGCACAAGCTGAAGTGCAGCAACGTCTAGAGGCTCTTGAAGCCAACCGAATGGCTGCTGAAGAGCTGCTCCTGGCCAAAGATGTCCAACTCTCAGAGGCTGCTGCTGCTGCCGAAGCCCAAAGAGCTAAACTCCTCGAGGCTGAGGATCAACTGATGACCCAGAAAGTCGAAGTGACCCAAGCTCAGACAAAGGCTTCCCGAGTTCAGCAGGAGCTGAATGAGCTGAAAGGTTCCTCCTCCAAGCTCGCTGATGAGCTGAAGAAATCCAAGGAAGACTTGGAGGAGACCCAGAAGAAGCTGGCTGATGCTGAGGCTCTACTCAAAGTCCGTGTCTATACCCAAGAGGAATATGAAATGGGTTTCAGAAACGGGTTCCGAGTATGCCGAAG